GTCCTAAGTTACGCTATACATGCAGAGCAAATTATTTGCCATAGCACAACAGATATGCTCCATTGACAATGGTGGAAGTGGAGTTGCACATGTAGCAATATTGTATATTGTATTTATGCATTGTACAGTGTGGTTGCACACTGTGCAATGGCACTTAGTCATTGCCACGTATTGTATGATGTTGCTGTTCTGCATGGGGGTTGCGTAATTCTGGTGCAGTATGTCTTCGCATGTGGATATTTATATTACACTGAGGTGATGCTGGATGCAGCCAAAGTTTATCCCTGACTTTCAGGCACTTGCTACAAAGGTTCTCCCCATGCCATTTTGTGGTTGAACCATCATGCAAAGAAGCATCTCAGACAGAATTCTTCACCACATAATCCATGAAACAAATGGAGAGGTATGAAGATGATGATGATGATGATGATGTATAATTGCAACATGAATCCCTGGACAACCTGTGGTATCCAATTTCAGGGCACTGACACTTCAGAGATTTTTCACTCTCACAAAGTACTGGAGGTTCAGGGAGGCAAGAGAAATGCCTAGTCACTGGCCGCTTTTCAAAACATGTAAACTATGTTTGTTGAGCAGTTTTGAATATGGTCTACACCAGTTCTAACATTTGATGAGCAGTTGCTTGAGCTCAGAGTTAAACACCCATTCCAGTGTCATGTGCAAACAGTTCAAGAAAATGTGGAATACAAATAGGTTGGTGCTGTGATGCTAAGGCATCCTATCCTCCCATAAAGGAAGAAATATACCTGGCAGGCAGCTTGGTACACCATGAGAAGTCCAGTTTAGTTATAGTGTTGTCACAACAGTAGTTGAATTGTATTTCCACATTTGATGAAATGTGGTGGGGCACTTTTTTCATCAATGTCGAATTAACAATATCTGCTATCCAAAGACCTAACATCTTTTGGCACCGTATGACAGAATAAGCCATTATTGCTCTCAAATCCCCAGGTATTATAAGAAATCTACCAGGTAAAGAACCACATATGGGAAATGTGCTTGCAGTGACCATAGTGTCATCCCAAGTGTGCCATCTCATGGTGCTATTCCAAGCCTATTTAGGAGAGGGGTACATTTACCTCAGTAGGAATTGCTTTGTTTTTTTTATGTAGGAAATTACCCCATGATACCATTAATAATTTTAACCATGATACTATTAATCTTCCTAGCTTTATAAAAATGGCTATCTTTCTTTATGTCAATTTACTAATGGGGGTAGGGGTTCATGCCAGGATTTATTTTCAGCCAGAAATAGCAGTGGTAATATTTTGAGGGCATATGTTAGTCACATTTTTCTTCTTTTTGAAGAAAAAGAAGTTTGTAGGTATCCAAAACAAAATGTTCTGCCAGGTATGG